TATAGAGGAAAAAGTAAACAGCCTATTGCTGGACACGGGTGCTAGTCTCTCGGTCCTTCTTTTCAGTCCTGGCCTTCCTTCCAGCCGTCACACCTCAGTGACAGGAGTCACTGGTGAGGAGGTAATACGCTATTTTTCACAACTCTTAGGCTGTAACTACTTGTTAGATCTTTCTTTCATATCTCTGTTTTCCTGAGAAACCACTTTGAAGATACCACCGTGTATTACAGCAGCCATTGATAATTTCCTACCAATCTGTCCATAACTCTGTAATGTTTCTATTGTTCCTATGCTATTTCATAAATGGATGTATGTTTATTACTATGTGTTTCCTACAACAACCATCGAGACTAGTCAATGATTATTTAATTGATTACTCATATATAGCTCTATTTGTTTTCCTTAGAAACCACTTTGAAGAAACCAAAGTATAGTACAACAACCATTGTTAATGTCCTACCATTTTTGTCTGTATCTCACTGTTATTTGTCGGTTTTCCTGAGAAACTATCTTGCAGATACCAATAGGTAAAATAACAACCATTGATATTCTCCTACCACTTTGACCGTAATTCAGTAAACCCCCTATTACTATGTTACCCTTCGTTTACCCTTTTAAATAAATAAAATAAATAAATAAACTGGCCTTTGAGACAGGAGTCTCGCTATACTGCCCAGGCTGCTTTTGAATGTTTGGGCTCCGAAGATTCTCCCGCCTCAGCCTCACCAGCTTAGATCACATGACTCGTCCACCCCCAAACCACAAAAGCCCTTCCCTGCTCACAGTGAAAACCTGTGCTCCACGCTCACTCCAGCGCAGCCCCCCAGCAGCCCCGCAACCTGTCTCATCACCCTACCACCCGCAGCCTTTGCCCAGCCATAGAGCTCTGCATTCTTCAGATGCACCAGATAGGATCCCACACAGATCACTTCTCCTCGTCCTTTGTCCTTGTCCTTACAGAGCTCCTCCGCTGAGTCCCATGAGGGTGGCTGCTTCTCCAACGGCTTTGCTCTCCAATGTCACCTTTTCAGTGAGCAATCCCTGGTCATCCTGTTAACGCCATGATGCACCTTCCCTGACAGCTCTTGGCCCCTCTTCCCTGGTGTGGCTGTGACAGCTTCCGACAGGGCATTGCTTCATTTAGGTCTCCCCCCGTACCGATGTAAGCCCACAGTGTCAAGGACTCTGATTTGTTTACTACCATATTACCAATACCCAAAACAATGCCAAGCACAGAACCGACACTTGCAAAATAATTATTGGGTGAATGAATCGGTGCATAGGTAAATTTTGCTAACATTCTTAGCATTCATCATTAATTAAAAGTACATTTACCCCAGTGACTGAGAATTTCCAAGTGCAGAAATCCAAATGACTTGCTGAAGCCCCTAACAGTTGTCTAAAGATACTTCCACCCTAACAAAAGAAGCTCACTGTGGCCCAGGAGTCCTCTCTCGGAGAAGAGTTGAAATTATTTCACTGTCACAGCAGCCCAAAGCTGTATCTTCAGAGTGGATCCTGGGGATTTGCCCATCAGGATGAAAAAGAATACCTGAAGGCATGCTTTCCAAGGAGTCTGCAGTTCCTTAATATCAAGTATGGAGAGAATGAGTAAAATATACAAAGGGGATCAAAGTATATAGCAAATATTTACAGGTTTAGGGGCTGGGAATATAGCTCAGCGGCACAAGTGCCTGCCTGGCAAGCACAAGGTCCTGAGTTTGATTCCTGGTACCAAAAAAACAGACAAATTTTTAAAATTTATTACACTAAAAGACACATTACCATCAGTCCCCCTCAAAATCCTCATCCTTGCCCCAAACACACTTACCCCATCTTCCTTCACACTTTCTGAAACAGTTCTGGAAGTTCTCTTTCTTGAGTGTCTTTATGAGGTATGCCATCCAGCAGAAACGCAGGCTCGTCAGAACATGACGGGAACAGTATCCTCGTCCACCTCTTTCACTCGGTCTGCCGCCGTGTGACTCCTGGCTCTTCCCCAAAGCCAAAATGACCAGGAAAGGGAACTGTCTTGAACCAGTTCAGGACACTGACGCAGCCCTAACAGCGCAACTAAAGACACTCGTGAGAGCGGGCTTCCAGAGCTGCTGCAGAAAGCGGCAGCACCGAAATGCGTCCAAAGCAAGGCGGAGGGTTCTGAGGAGGATTCGAGGCCATGTTTTCTTGTAGTAATTTTTTTAAAAATTTAAGCATCCACGATAGCTTTCAATCACACGGTGTAAACTCAGGTGCGAACTTAGGTTTGTGTTACAGGCTCCACGGAGGGAGAAAGAAGTCTGCCTTCACTGAATGGAATGGTTGGGCGTCTTTTTACTTCCTTTGCTTTTTTACATTTTATTTCTATCAGTACCTTTGTGCTACATAATGATCACGTTCACCACAGGGCATTTGTACCGGTACATGGTGTGTCTTCAGTCTTCCTTTCTTCCTGTTCCCTTCCCCGCCCTTTGACCCTCCTTCTCCTCCCCACTCACAAAGCTGTGTTTCCACTTTTCTTTTCATTCATTTTCCCTTTGCCCTCCCGCCCTCCGCCCTCCCCTCCCTGGTCCCCTTCCCGTTTGAACATGTTCTTCCTCCTTCCCAATGTCCAACCTCCATTAAGCTCTTTATTTACCCTTCGGGTTCCCACCCAACAGAAACATGTGGTATTTCAACTTGTGTGTCTGTTTATTTTGCTGAAGATCATGGTCTCAAGGTGCACCCATTTTCCTACAAATGATTCAAGTTTATCCTTCTTTATGGCACAGTAGTACTCCATTGTGCGTAATGGAATGGTAGGGGAGCAATTGTGAAGCCATACAAGGGCCTGATTCCTAAGCCCTGGTTATACGTGGTGCTGAGATCGGCTGGCTCTGCGCTGAGGCCGTGTTCCCGGCATGTTCAGTGCCTGGCCTCCTCTACCCACACCTTCTCCACGCACTCTGTGTGACAGGTGAAATGGGAGGGCTGCGTGTTCACACAGTCTTGCCTCCCGCAGAGAGATGCACAAAACACCGCTGGAAAAATCATACGGGACACCCGCGACAGCCCGAGGAAGGGGAGGGAGCCAGCACCCGGGCCGGGACTGCGCCCCTGCGGGTGGCTCCCAGACCTCGGGCCCTCAGCGGCTCCCCGCAGCGCCCATCGCCGTCGCCCCCACCCAGCCCGGCTCAGCCGTCCGCCCCTCCGAGCCCCGCCGCGCGGGTGGCCGCCGAGCCCGCGGCTTTGCCCGCCCACGCCGCCGACCGCGTCCCGCAGACCCGGCAGGGAGGAGCGCGGGGGGCGCTCCCGGGTCCCGGCCCCAGGGCCCGGCGGGGCCGCCAGAGAACGCGGGTCAGAACCGTGGTCGGCGTCCCGCTGCGCTGCTCGGCTCCTCCGGTGCGTTCAGCAAACACACACAAAGAAAGGCAGGCTTTCTTCCTGGGAGTGAGCGCCGCGGAGATCGCTGTCACTTCTGAAATTCTTCAAGGCTCTGGACACGAGTACAACACTGCTGTGCACGGCTCCCGTGTGTAAGACGAGCCTGCCTTCTCTGCCCCCTCAAATCGCAGCGATTCAGGAACCGGAAAGGCGACTCCTCCTCGGACTGACGGGCACCTGCTGTCCTTCCGGCGTCTCTCCAGAGCCCGGTCCTCATCGCTTCTGGTTCATTGGGCCCGCCAGCTTCAGGAACACCCCCGGGGCCGGCTGGACTTCTCAGGACCCGATTTCTACATTCCAGGTCCAAGCAGTTTCTCCCAAACTAAATTCCAGCAGTCTTCTTAATTCAGTATAAGAGTAAGTGCCTGTGGGCTTAGGTTTCTTAAGACAGTCAATCTTACTGACCTGTACTTCTTGGAAACCCATCTCTCTGCTCTTATTTTTAAAATAATCTTACAGAAAAACATATTGTTTGGGAAGGTTTAACTCTGGAATTCCAGATGTCTTGAAGGCTTTACCCATCTCTCACTTTTCTGAAAGATCTTCAGTAATAATTTATTCTCTAAACTGTTCACTCAAGACTCTTGCAGTGTGCAACAAAGACGATAATGATCTGCCTGAAGGCTGAGGTGAGTGGGAATATTCCTACCTGTGAGAATCACAGAGGTCTGAACAGAAATGAGATCTAGACGAAGGGAAATGTTAAGACTTACCATAATATGGAAGACGCTTCACCTACGTTTTAGGAAAGTGTTTTAACTTTCAAATTGAGATTTTTGAAACAGAAAACTACAAACTTCATAGTGGAGAAAGCTGACGGAGGTCACCTAAGTGATCAAGATTGATGTCACCAGCAGTGAGACCTAACAGGATCACAGGTACTATGATGCAATGTGGTAGGGGGCAGATTTCATCTCTCTGGCCTCCCAAACATCTAAACCCCCAGTCATAAGAAAGCAAATTCAAATGGAGGCACATTCTCCAAAATAGCGACCAGCAGACTTAAAAAGCATCAAAGTCATGAGAAACAAAGCAAGGCTAAGAAAATGTCAAGGAAAGATGAAAGAGGACATTAATGGGAAAACAAATGGAATATAATTGAAGACTGCATTTATAGTGTCGTATCTATGCTTGTTTAGTCTTGCCAAATGTGCTATAGTTAGCAAGATTAACATTAGGGGAAGCTGGATTAGGGCACACAGGAACTCTATAACCCTTACACTCCTCCGTAAATCTAAAATTCTTTAAAAATTCAAAGTTTTCCCAAATCTCTAATGAGACCAACTGTACCTAAATGCATTGTGGTTGTGGATATGATGTAGGAGTACCTGTATCATAATTCCCTAGTCATTTTTTTTTCACTAATTTGATGTTCCTATGGTTATTATGTGAACCAAAATATGTAAGACAATGCCTTTCTTCAGAAAAAAATCTTTCCTCATAGTAATTTATGCCTTCTCTTTGCATACTGATACAGTGTATCTACAGATCACAGTGCCGTGTATGACTCCTACAAAAGTGCTCTTTAGAAAATAATTAAGAAATCCAGGTAAGGAAACCCCCGGGGCCGGCTGGACTTCTCAGGTAAGAAGGGATACAAATGTTTATTTGTTGAAACACATTGGTAAACTGAGTAATTTACATTGCAAGAGTAAATAGATACACGTCATTATCAAATAACTTTCCAGACATCCCACTAATCACCTGTCGTAAGATGATTACAGTTAGCAAGTCCTTGAAAATAGTACAGAATTAACATGAGGAGATGCCAGGACTACACAAGATAGACTGAGACTCATTGGCTATGGAGTATTTGTAGCTACACAGGCCTCTGACCAAACAAAACAGGGATTTCATCAATTGTGTTTAGGGTATACAAACTTCAAATTTCACAGGTTTACTTTTAAATATTGCAGCGTGATACGTTGTTCCTAACAGTGGAATTCTCTCACATTTAAATAAAATTTGAAAACCAAATAGTAAAAAAAAAGGGAAAGAGATAGTAGTAAGAATCCAGTTACCAATTTTACAGCTAAAAATTAATGTGAAGTAGAAATAGTGAAAGGTAAGAGGCAAATATATTACTTTGGGTAATTCATTTATAGTGCCCTATTACCTTAGGTTATAAATACAGCAAGGATTCTGTTATATAAAAACTATCAAAAGAGTATGCGGGGAAAGACAAGGCCATGAGCTGGGCTGAGCAGCCAGCGAGCGCACGAGGGCCGGCAGCGAGGCTGGCCGTCACACCGTCCAGGACAGATGTTGCTCCTCCTTCACACAAGACCACAGACAGCGTCAGAGATCAGCGCATCGTCAACCAGTCTCCTTCCACTGCAACACTGAACCTGGGCCCACGGCTTTAATGACGGCCTTCAGACTGGGGGGAAGTGGGAGGCAACTGCTTAGAATTTCCTCGGAAATGTCAGCGCACGGTACAGTGTTGCTGGAGCCAGAGGTCCTCTGAATCGATGAAAGAACTACAAAGAGAAAAGAGGAAAGAAGAGAATCAGTAAACTTGACAAGGTACAGCTTCGATAAAAACATACCGACTCTAAGCATGCAAACCATTCTCTATTTTAAGTAGTGCACATAATTCAACATTTACCCAATATTTATTTAAGATTTATCATGTGGCTGGCATGGTGCTAAGCATGGGTGGTATTTACAGAAGAGACAAAGCCAGGTGGAGACTTACAAACTCAATTAAAATATGGAATGATCGGCCATGCTCAGAAATGGCTACACACATGCCAGCATCACCAAAGTAACAGAAACTGCTCATCCCCAGCCACATCCCTTCCCTGCATGCTCAGGCCCAGGTGAGGCTGAGCCGCGCAGGGACTCACGACACCTCCAAGTGAAGCTGAGAGGACCCCTGCCTCACGTGTCAGTAATTTAGATTCGGAAGTCATCCCAAGCCACCAAATCAAATCTGAACTTTGGTCAGTGGCTGAGTTCAGTTCACAGAATCTACATGTTGGTTTAAAAAAAAGTCTAACTGATCCTTTCCACAGTCTTTTCCAGCCAGATGTGGTGCTGCATGCCTGGAGATTACCTTTCCATACGGCACAAATAATCAGATTCCTCCTGCCTAGGGAAAACTGCATTCACAATTCTACAGGTAAGGTTAGATCTCTATTAAAATACTAGACACAGAATATCAGCAGACTCCCCAGGGGAAGTACCACCCCGTGGCTCTGCAGGGAGGGTTACACTGCTGGCTGAGCAGAAAGTTGCAGGGGAAGCGACCCCTTGAGGACTGGCCGGGTCCCAGCTGCCACACCCCTTCCTCTAGCAGGAAAGCCCGTTCATCTCTACCTGTGAACTTATTCTGCCGGCCACCCTCCCCACCTCCAGCTCTAGTACTGGCCCTGGGTGAGCACTGGTTCAACTGCAAACCAGCTTGCTTCTGGACTGCCGATGGCTGGGTTCTGATCACAAAAACGAAAAGAGGGTGATGGTGGTGACGGTGGTGATGGTGATGGCGACCACGACAGCCAAGCTACCATTTATTTCCCATCAACCCTGACGACGACCCTTAAACCTAAGCATTAGATTCAGCATGTAGATTACAAAGCTAGGGCCACAAAGGGGAAGTAACTGCCCAGCCAGTAAGTGAGAGTCCGCACTCAAATCAAGGCCATCAACTTCCCAAGCAGGCCATCCCAGGAGACAGGGCGTCCCAGAAAGCAGAGTTTCAGTGAGGCCAGGTGTCACTCAGCAGGACTGAAACGCAACTGGGGTCCGAGTGCACCAGTGGACCGAGTGCACTGAGACGCCTTTGTCCCGCACGGCTGCACCTTCGTGGTGACAATGGCCCGGCTCCACTGCAGCTCTGGGAAGGGTCCGTCTCTGCTCTGCTGCTTAACCCCTCGTGGCTACTGCCAAACCCTTCCCACTGACCCAACCCAGCGCGCACGGGCCCAGCCTCTCTGATCCCTCCCCACCTGCCACTCCTCAAGTCCTATGCCTTCAAGGTTTTTTGCAAGGAAGGCCAGAGGCACCCAAAGTGGTGTATTCAGCAGACACACAGCCTGCTCTTAATAAATAAAACTGATCGGAAACAAAATGAAATGAAAAAGAAATGGCTACAAAGACAGTTGACCTGAGCATTAGGCTCTTTAGAGTAAAATCCTACTCTAATCCTCAGGATGAGACCCCCCCACCCCATCCGAGACAAAAAGGAATGAAGGGGTGTGACAGACACACACCAACTCCCCATGATGAATGCGATCACTGTGTGCCGCGAACATGCGCTGATGAAAAGTAATGCAAGCCTACTGGTAATAAAAACAGGTTTTTTAGAAATATATAGCAATAAGGCCAGGTGTGGTGGTGCACACCTGTAATCCCAGCACTCGGGAGGCTGAGGCAGGAGGATCACTGTGAGTTCGAGGCCAGCCTGGGTTACAAAGTGAGCACAAGGCCAGCCTGAACTGCATAGCGAGACCCTGCTTCAAAAGGACAAAAAATAAATTAAAAAAAAAGAAATATATAGCAATAATATCCACTGTTTATTCCTCATCAATGGTAAATATATAAATTGTTTAGAAAAATATACAATACCTCTTGTTTACTGGGTCATGATGTTAGCTTCCTCTAATCTTAAAGAGAAATTAAAGGAAAGTTGAATGTTCAGATTATAAAGAACATATTCTAATTTCCCACAAAACTACAAACAGTACTAATGGACATGCACTTGCTGGTCTAAATCATAAGGGAATAGGCACAAGGAACAAGTAGCAAGCAGTGTGTTAAAATAGTGCACTACAGCCTTGTGTGCACAGTAAACATGATAAAACCACATGTCCCACAAAAAATCAGTAGCGCGCTTAGTATATCTCATTCTTACCATGAGTCTCACGTTAAAATGAATGTAAGCAAGACCGTGAGGCCTCTTACTCAAAAAATCTTCATTCACCCAGGCTTACTAACTTAAAACTCAGGAAAGGGCACCCCTGCCTCATTTAATTCTACTATAGGCAGTTCTAGTTCCTTTAATCGTCTGCCTACTCATCAGTCATCTTTCCAAAACATTACAGAAATTGCCGGGTGTGGTGGCGCACCCCTGTAATCCTAGTACTTGGGAGACTGAGGCAGGAGAGTCACTGTGAGTTCAAGGTCAGCCTCGATTACATAGCAAGACTCTGTCTCAAAACACAAAACAAAAAAAGACGTCACAGAAATCTATGTTTGTGCGCTAGAAAACCTCCATGAACTTACTTGAAGGCAAGCTTTTTGGAAAGAAATTAAAAATCTCCATGGAGCATGACTACAAATAAAAGCTAAATTTGCTCTGGAATTACTCTTAACACATGAGCAGCAATTTCAAGAAACGCGTACCACAGAGGTTTTTCCTGGCTCACTGAAACAATGTAGTACATAGGCTGAGTCAGCCAAGCAGATATATAAATTGCATATTTTTCATAAAACAGACGAATAGCTGGAGGGAATAAACATCCCATAATCATTCTTACTTTTTTGTACAGTCTTTGTTTGATTGGACACCATATCAACAGCTTCAGTGGGCAGGCCAACATATACTCCTCCATAGTTTCTATGAGACAAATCAAACCAACTTAAATGCACAGAGACAGAGAAATGCAGCACTTCAAACAATCATAATTAACACAATACATGATCTTTCAAAGCTGAATTAAAAATATCTTTGTCCCTGGAAACATAATTGTTTTTGTTTTGTTTTGTTTTGTTTTGAGACAGAGTCTCACCATGTAGTTCAGGCTGGTCTTGAACTCTCTATGTAGCCCAGGCTGGCCTCAAACTCACAGCAATCCTCCTGCTTCAGCCTCCCAAGTGCTGGGATGACAGGTGTGCACCACCACACCCAGCTTAGAGGATATAAATTAAAAATACACTACATGAGAAAAACAAGCTGTACTGATTGATAGACTATTCAGATATTTTACTTGCAATGAGAAACAAGAAGTTGGACGTTTTAAGTTAGTACAGTGATAAACGTATAGAGTGACTTGTCATGGGAAATCAGTAACATTTATCAAGAATTCCTAGTGGCTACCATGGTATTATGTATCATGGATATATAAAAACATGTTTCTCGAGGGAGACAGACGGATGAAATGAGGGACAGCTAAAGAGTCATGGCGTGCAGTTGATCGGAGGAGGAGGAGGAGGCCAGAGGGGCTGCAAGAGGAGGGGACCATTCCTTGAGAGGACAGTGAGCCTAGGTCTGTGGGACACAAATTGGTATGGGTGCCGTGCACAGGACGAAGCCCAAGCTCAGCTGAAAGAAGCACAGATTGTAAATCTGAGACTTTTCCCCAGACCTCGCCCTCCTCCCGTGTTCTCTGGGCCACAACTTCTCCTGGTGGAACCTGTATTACTGGCAATGTGCCACCATGTGGAAAATTCAGTTATGGCCACAATCACTCAAAGTAACGCCAGCAGCGATACCAAACCTACCTCCTCTTGTCATCTTCCGTTATCGATTCTTCTGTCCTAGAAGACCAAAAATATATGTGATAGGACACTGGGTGACAAGGACAGAGACTTTTCTTTGGTTATGAGAAGAAAGGAATCATTGGGAGAAAGCTGACTGCGCCTACTTCAAGTGTTTCTACCAAGCGTTTCCACAGCACAGTATTCCAGCCCACCGAAATGTACCAATCCGGAAAGTGCCCAGAAAGACTCTCTTCTGAACCACCGGAAAAACTGAGGGCAGCCGAGATTGGGGAGGGCACAGAACCCAGAAGCCGGGCAGCCAGGGTTCCCCTTGACTGTGACAGGCACTCCCTGATGCCCACCTATGGGCAGCAGGCTGCTCACACCTCGTGTGTCAAGTACACGGTTGACCAGATGACCCCCACGGTCCCTCCCAGTCCTTACACACTGCGATTTTGGGTCCTTGTGCCAGTTCAGTGGCACAATTACGGGTAGTGAAGATTTCTTTAGTGCATAAAGAATAATGCCAATTTGATTTCCTTTTACCTAAAGTTATGAGACATTTAATATACATTCTTTCACAAAGAAGGGAGCTATGTTTCAAAGGATGCTCTTGCAGGGAATCACTACTTTACAACAGCCTCTTCCCCAGCCTAAGGACATTCCTTGGCATAGTTCTAAGCGGACTGGGAAACCTTTCTTAGAGCCCTAGTTAGCATGCATGTTACTTTTCTAAAAGGAAAAAATTAACAAACCAAGGTTCAGAGGTGTCCAGCTGAGCCCAACATACAGTTCTAAGAGTTTCTGTCAGGAGGAAAGCAGACCAGACACATTGGATCTTTTGATTCTAGAAAATCCGTGGTTCTGCCCAGTTAGAAGCTGTGAACGCTGCACATGCAGCAATCCAGTGCATCTAATGTTCCTTCGCTGCAGCGCCTGCAAGTGCCAAGCCCATAAAGCAGGAAGCATAACTGGCAGCTGCCTGGCGCATACTGGCCACCAACACAGCACGCCGCCAGCTGGTGTAGACTCCACCTTGAGATCCAATTTACCCATGCTGAGCACAGAACCCATGTTTGCCAGATAATTATCAACTTCATGTACCTCTTGCTAAAGTGAAATTGTGCTTTAATTCAAAAGTGTTAAAGTCACACTGCGTTTGAAATGGTGTTATGCTTATTGATGTGTACAACAAAGTGCTTTCTACTTTTAATTAAAATGGATTTATAAACCTTTACTATAGGTAATGGGAAAACGATGGTGACAAACTTGTTCAAGATGAGCACAGCATTTTCTTTGGTCCTGAGTGACTGACACCGTGATGAACTTGTTTCCAAGCCAAATATAACTGGGAGACCTGGACATGTACAATGTCTCATATATTCAGCCACAGCTAATTCTTTTCCGATGCACTAACATATTTATCTCAATTCTTTCCCCTTTTGTCTAATTCTACCGAAAAATATAGTTTAAGTTCCCCAAATATAAGAAAAATAAAAATTTATTTTAAAACTATTATATTAATTATTATCAACAGTCTATAAAATCCAATCTGGCCATACGTGGTGACACACACTTGTAATCCTAGCACTCAGGAGGCTGAGGCAGGAAGATTGCCATGAGTTTGAGGCCAGCCAGGGCCACATAAGTGAGTTCAAAGCCAACCTGAGCTGGACAGCAACACCCTGTCTCAAAAAATTAACTAATTAAAAAATTAATTCAGATATAATAGAACATCTCTAAAAATATCATTTATAGTGCTTCTACGATATCCATTCTTCTATCCATTCATGTAAGTTACAGAGCCCCCTTTTGGATATCCGCCTATGGATGAGGCTACTCCTCTAGCCAATCCTTCTACGAACCATACAGATTATTCTTAATCTGAAACAAGACCAGAACTTTAGCATCAGTTTTGCTCAAATTACCTGGGTCAGCACTCTTCCACGCAACAGCTCAGAGAGCTCAGGCCAAGGAAATGGGTGCAGACAGCCACGGAATTAACAAACAAGCGAGACCCACAGCAAACCCCACCCACCTGACACTGGTGTCCACATCCGGGGCCACCTCACAGCTGCTTGGGGAGAAAGATGCACAAGTCCAAGGCAACCCCGGTGGGAGGTCAGCAAAGCGGCTTCTCCTAAGGAGGAGCCACCTCCAGATCACTCCTGCCAAAGCTCTGGCCATCTCCCATCTCTACTCCTTTTAATCCTGCAAGACAGCTACTGGCTTTACCGTAAAACAAAAATCTGAGGCCCAGGAAGGTCGATAGCATGATCAAGGTTATCGATAAAGCCAGAATTCAAGTCCAAACTTGTGGGGGATTCCAGACCCTGCCTCTGAGCTGTGAGCCTGTGCTGTTGGGAGTTGGAGAAATCCACCTCCCCTGACTCTGTGGTCTGTCCTCAGTGCTGAGGACAGAACAGGCCCAGCGAGGAAACCCCTCAGGGCCTCATTAAGTTTGGGGTACAGTTCCTCTGTGACCCCTACAGCTCCAGGGGGAGGGTGGCCACTGCTACATGGCTTCCAGCTGAGACTACAAACCCTGCCCCCCAAACCAGTGACAAGAGCAGGAGCAACAGCAGCAGGCAGAACCACACCGTCCGCAGCCACGGAGGGAGAGCCTGGGCGGTCCTGAGGACCGGGCTGCAGGACTCAGAACGAGATGGCTTCACTCCCAGCATGCTCCCCAGGAGAGCAGAGCCGCAGATTGAATTATCCCAAACCGGCGAAGACAGCGTGAAAATGAGGCTGTTTCACAGTGAGGACCCAGCAAGGGGCCGGGAGGCTCCACTGCGCGTGGCGGTGCTCTTGGGGAATCAACTGGTCCCAAATCTCCAATCAGCTCACCAGGAGCCTCATCCTGGGGAAAGGAGCAGGACAAACCTCCCACAGCAAGGCCACTGGGGATCCTGGCAGGAGCCAGCAGCCAGCACCCAGACACCCTAAAGCAGACGCTCAGTGTGAGATGAGAAAAGCTAAATTCCGCCAGGTCCCTTCCCACCTCCTCTGCCTGGGGCTCCTCAGGTCTTCTCCAGCCTCGTTATGCTGGAGCCAGAGGCTGCTGCTGGCGAGAGAGAGAACCCAGCACGTATTACCCAAGATCAGGGCGCTCTGGAGCAATCGTGTTCCAGCAGCTATGCAGCAAGCCAAGTCAAAAGCTGCTCTTGCTAGCAGACGTGCTGGAAAGGAAGCTACTGCCCCCTCCTCCAAAGCTACCTGCCCCATCCACTTGGTGCTGCGGGGGCTGGGACCCTGAAGACCATCCTTGCCCTTGTCACCATGCTGTGGCTGGTTCCACCAGCAAGAGAAGCAGGGGAGAGGATAAGCTGCCCAGGGAGCAGGAGGATGGAGCTCCTCTCCCAGCTCAGCTGTCTGCTCCCAAGGCCCTCATTCCATCCTCGCAGCACTCTCAGGACAGTCCCATGGCCTTTCTGGTCACTGCAGCCATCATTACTGAAGCCTCAGAAGAGTCAGTGCCTCAGTGCCACGTGTCCCTCCTCCACGTCTCTACGGTGCCAGTATTAGCAGGTGACACTGTCCCCTCAGGGCCTGTGTCCCAGCTTCCGTACATTCCCTCCTTTACTCTGATCACACTAACCTCCTGCCTTGGTCGCTCTGGGCCTAGCAGTGACAGTTATTTCCTGCTTTTCCTCTCTCTCCTGCTTCCCTCTTCTTCTCTTACATTTCTAACACTTTACGACACACTTAACCAACTCCTGACAGTGAGTCTCTCTGTTAACTGGTCAGGGTGTGGGATGCGGTGGTGCACACCTGGACTCCCAGGAGGATAAATCAGGAAGATCAAGAGTTTGAGGCCAGCGCAGGCTATTAGTGAGTTCAAGGCTGGCCTGAGGTCACAGGGAGACCCTGTCTCAAAAACCAAATAAATAAGATCAGCGTGACTCCTTTTCCCTGATGGGTCCCTAACTCACACACTGCCAGACAGCAAGAACGGGGTTCCTCTCTTGGCCCCTTGGTTGAACATGGTCTACTGGAGCACCTAAGAACTTCTCGCTTCCTGCCGGGTGCAGTCACGTCAAGGTTACAGGTACGCTGGACTGTATGGCGGGCCGTGCGCCTCAGTTAGACCTCCGTCCTGCAGAGCAGGAGCTCAGAGGACACAGGGCATTCACAGAACAAAGCGAGACCAGGGTGGACACTGCAGGCCATGCGAACTGCTCCTGGTCATCTCCGCACACCGGAACGGGGATGCAGGACTCGCCAGACCAAGGGTTTTCCCACAGGAAGTGCGAGTTAGGCTTCGGAGGTTTTGTGCTTTTTGGGGAGGCTGGCTTTTCGAGGCAGGGTCTCCGTCCCTAGCACGCCATCCCGGGGCCCTTCATCCACGGGTCTGGACACTGGGACATGGAGCCGTGCCTTTCACAGTGGTGACCCACATCAAGTTTCTGGCCCACGGACCCTGAGTTTGCCTCCTTTAGAAATACTCAGAAATTTTACGTTCTGTGTATCTTACCATAATAAACAATTGAACGGGGAAGGGAGGAAAGAGAAGGGGTGAAACGAGGAATTAAGATGCACTCTGTGCTTGTGCCAGCTCCCCACAGGATGTGATCGCTACACACTATTAAAAAGTGGGAAAAATGAACAGAAGTGCATCTAGGGAAGGGCTAACATTAGAAGGCCGTCCTGGCGCGAGCTGGGCGGCGTCCCGGGATCCGTGCCTCGGCAGCCTCTTTCCCTGCTGTGCAGGACTAAGGGTGCCGGTCCACCTGAGCACTGAGCTCTGCCGCTCCCTCTGCACCCTGGGAGCTGTGCCCAGTGAGAGACAGACAGAGGGACCCCCTCTAGGCTGCAGTATCCCCCACTGTCACCGACCCACACAGGAGGCCACCCTGGAGCTACTCGGCTAGCCAGCGTGCTCCACAGTGTCCTCAGCCCTTAGATGAGGGGCTAGGCAAGCTCCACAGTGGTGACAGGTCCCTCTCGTCTCCAGCTTTCGGGACCCTTCCTTCCTGTCTGGGCAGCAGGGAGCCCCTGGCCGTCTCCCCAGGTTCCAGTACAAGCTCACGCCCCAGTTGCAGCAGCCTCCTTTGACTGATCCAGTTGTACCCGACTCGCCTGAATCACGACTCCAGTGTCTGCTGACCACCGGCTTGGTCAGGGTCTCTCTGGCCTGTTTGGCCTGAGCACTCACAGTCCTTCCAAGGAGTGTCAGTGACAAGACCCTTCGCTGGGCGACAGCAGACCCTCCTGGCTCCCACGGCCAAGTGTGCTGTCCTTGCCTGGGGCCACATGGAGCTCCAGGCCTGCTCTACCACAGCCCTGACCACATGGGTCACAGGGCCTGTATGGATCTGACCTCGGCCCTAGAGCCAGAGGGCAGCTGAAACAGGTGGTGGGAGGAGAAGGCCAGAGCAAGTGATTCCTGGGGAGGGAGCCCACTGCACACTGCACCCCACACCCCCTGCCGGCATCTCTTGAGGTCCCTGGCAGGACATGGAAAGTTTCCAGCTGGTGCAGTACAGCAAGAAATCAAGCTCTTCACCACGATGGGTAGAAGAAAGTCCACCTTCCCAAGGAACAGCCATGGATGATGTCGGATGCGCCCACCTGCAGGGGCCCTTGTGCTGAGGGAGAAATTCAATCTTTCCGGACCATTTAAGAAGCATCTTGGAGCCTGCTGTGCAGCAAAGAGGTGCTTAATTTCCTAGAGACTCTGGATCAATATCGATATTGGCTCTACGATGGGTAAGAGGAGCACCATGCTGAGTTTAGCAAATTCACAGCGAGGAGGCCAGAAGCGGAACTGACAGGCACCCCGAGCTGTCTTCTGTCATCTCACTTGTCCCAGTGGTTGGCCTTTGTCAGCTTCATGTTTTTCTTTTTCTCCCATTTTCTTTTCCTGGCATGCCACTTGTCAGGTCAACTCTGGTAAAATACAGAACACTAAGCAGTATTTTACTCTTAAACCATCAGCTGAGCTGAGCGTGGCGGTGCACACCTATAATCCCAACATTCAGCAGGCTAAGGCAGGAAGAACGTCAGGAGTTCAAGGCCAGCCTTGGCCACACAGTAAATTCAAGGCCAGCTTGAACTATAGTAAGACCCTGTCCCAAAATCCAAACAGACAGTAAAAATCAAATATTGATTTCACTAAAAGATATCTTATTCAAAGTTAATATAGCTAATACAAGTAAACTTTTTCTTCCCATCATACATGGTAATCAAAACATTTTCATTACTGCATTTGCTTAGCTTCTACGTTATATAAAATAGTTCTCCTTAGTGACCTAAAGGTTTTAAAGGTTGAGAAAAAAATGAAGCCTTCCATGTGGATGGACAAACGTGTCATCTTTGTGTCATCATGTGTTGTCTTTGTCAGACAACAAAGAGTAAACAGCAGCCGGCAACTCCAATGAACATTTTCTAACTCCTCTTAGCCACAACTTACGGGAAAATTCAGAAGGTTCTCCCTTCCCTCTGCCTTCCACAACCACCACAGTTCTGCGGCAAAAACCCAGTGTCTCACCAAGAAAAACGTTCTAAATATGGAGCTATTCTTACAAGAGCTGATCTCAGAAGCAGGA